CATTATCACTTGAAGATACTATGTCAGATAATAAGAAAATTATTCTATATGAAATGAGTTTAGAATTTAAGTCACAAATTCCTTCTACTTCACAAAAAACAGATAGTTCACAACAAGCAGCAAGTTCACAACAAGCAGTTATTTTACAACCGCCAAAACTGACATTGACAAAGAAAGATGAAAAAATGGATGATGAAAGTTCGATGGATCTATCGTCACGTCTTTCGTCAGAACCGTCTGATCCATTAGATTTTGAAATGGAAGAACCTTCCTTACCTGGAGATGTTCAACAAGAACAATCAGAATCAGTTAGTTTTTATGCTGAAACATCAGATGGTTCGATCGATTTACAACAGCTAAATAGAAAAAGGAAAATGGAACATGAAGAAATGGATACAGAAGAAATAGTGGAGGTAAAAATGTCACATCTTTTGGCAGAAGTGACTACTCCATTAGAAGTTGAAATGGAAGAATCTTCTTCGTCTGAAGTGGTTCCACTACAACAATCACAACCATTTAGTTTTCATGCTGCGTTATCATATCATTCAGATGTTTCAGATCAGCCAAAAATGATAAGTAAAAAGAAACGTGAAGAAATCGATACAGAAGAAAACATAGTAGCAGAAGCGTCACATACTTTAGCAGAAGTAGCTACTGAATTAGAAGTTGAAATGCAAGAACTTTCTTTGGCTGCAGATATTCCACAACAACAATTACAATCAGTTAGTTCTCCTACTAAGACAAAACAAGATTCGGATCGTTCACAACAGCCAATGACGAAAACGAAAAAAAAACATAAAAAAACGGATAAAGAAGAACAAAAAAAGGCTGATGCGTCACCTACTTTATTAGAAGTGATTATTCAATTAGAAGTCGAATTGAAAGAACCTTCTCTGGCTGCAGATCTTCCAAAACAACAATTAAAATCAGTTAGTTCTCCTACTAAGACAAAACAAGATTCGGATCGTTCACAACAGCCAATGACGACAACGGAAAAGAAACAAGATAAAATGGATACAGAAAAAGAAAGGGATGCTAAAACGTCACATACTTTATCAGAAGTGACTACTCAATCAGAAGTTGAATTGGAAGAACCTTCTTTGGCTGAAGAGGTTCCACTACAACAATCACAACCATTTAGTTTTCATGCTGCATTATCATATCATTCAGATGTTTCAGATCAGCTAAAAATGATAAGTAAAAAGAAACGTGAAGAAATCGATACAGAAGAAAACATAGTAGCAGAAGCGTCACCTACTTCATCAGAAGTGATTACTCAATTAGAAGTTGAATTGGAAGAACCTTCTTTGGCTGAAGAGGTTCCACTACAACAATTACA